TTTTTTCCCTGCCAGGAGGCGAAAATACCAGACACCTGGCAAACCTACGACACACTCAGCAACCAGGCCCAGCCCCCAGAACCCCCCAGGAGGCGAAAATACCAGACACCTGGCAACCCTATGACACACTCAGCAACCAGTTACAGGTCCCCCCCAAGACAGCCCTCACCTCCTCGCTTACCTGGTTCCACAGGGGCTTGTCTTGTGGCTGAAACAGAAAAACAAAATGGCCATTGGCAAAAAAAAAATCTTCATCTTAAAGGGACCATGCTGTTTTTTGTTGTTGTTGTTGGGTTTTTGTTTTGTTTTGTTTTGTTTTGTTTGCTTAGTAACTGCTGTCAGGGTCCCTTTTTTTTCTTCTCAACAACTTTGGTCTCCCCCTTTTTTTTCCTCAATAGAATTTTTTTAACCTGGTGTTTTTTTTCGGGGGGGGGAGGGGCGTGTTTGGCATTTTGGGTTAAACCATCTAGCAACCCTACCTACAGCCTGGTGCAATTTGGGCAGAATTTGATCTTACCAACATTGTTAACAAAGTTAGCAGCTTACTCTGGAGCGGTGGCATGTAAAACGCCCGGGATACCTAAGAGACCGGGAAATAGCACCACTCTCTCTCTCTCCAAAGAAACTTCAGACACACCAGCCACTTTAAGTGGCCAGATAAAAACACTACATTTCCCACAAGCCCCTCTTAGGCTCGCGAGAGTTAAAACGAGACTTGCCCTGAATAGGGCGGACACTTCCTGTTGTCACGGTCTCTTCCGCTCGCTGCCGGCAAGAATGGCGGTTGTGTTGAAGGTGAGTAGCATCAGGTTGTGGTAGGATCTGGTGCCATCCTTAGTAACGGTGACTTGTAAGCAGACGCGATCTTGTGGTGTGGGGGTGGGTGGCGATTGTGCATGGCCGTGGCGATGTATCACTTGGGTCGGTGCGCGGGTATCCCCCCCCCCCCCCATCGGCCTGTGAAGCCTTGGCCGTAAGTCCCATGGCTGCCTCTAGCTCGTTCTCCCCAATGGGAGGTGACGAGGGCCCTGGATCCCCTTTGTGGGGTGGCTTTGAGCTTTCTGAAGCTGCTGGGCAGGGGAAGTCTGGGCGTGGGATGGGGATGGGATGTCCCAGTTAGCGCTCCCCACCCCCCCTTTCCGTGCTATGGCAGGTCCTTGCCCAAAACCTGTAGGAGGGCGGAGAGCTCGGCTGCACCCTGCTGAGCGCATAGCTCAAAGGAGGGGACGGCTGCTCTCAGCTCAGGTTCTGGCGGCCTCCCTTTTTGCGCGTAGGTAACGCAGATGCGTCAAAGCTCAGTTCGTTCAAGTTTTAACCTTCTCCCACACTAGATCCCATGACCTGCGGGCTATTGGCTTGTTCCTTAAACTTCGCTGTAGCTGTAGAATGTTACTGATTCCTGATGGCCACCATGCTAAATGCATCTGGGATGTGTGTAAGTCACATGTGTTAAGGTCTGTGATTCAAAGGGACACCCCCATATTCTGTTCCAGTGACTCCTGTATGTTGCCTACTTTGAAGAGAAAGTTTCAGTCTTCCTATTGTTGCAACTACAAGTCGTTTCCTGTTGTCTATAAACATGTCTTAAAAACATGTTATAGACTTGGTAGCCCATGGGATGTGTCTTTTAATTTACACTTCTAAAGTGACTGTTTTTCCTTAGGCACAGAGACTAAGTCTGTTCTCTTCCTTGCTCAAACTTTAGCATTTCTTGCATTAGAAGCCAAGGTAGATGAAATATCTTTCATTGTCTCAATTTTTATTGGTGGAAGGAACAGACTTTTGGGCTGCACATAGTTCTGAAAAGTCTCTTCTATGTTAACGGAAGAATAGTCAGTGGGAAATCCATTCAGTATAACAAAGCTAAGTTATTTTGGGTTCTGCTGGCTGCCCATGCTAACTATAAATATTATACAAAACATGCATGTAATTATATATAATGTGTTTCCCTCCTGTTGTGTGGAGAACTGCACAAACTGGGAAAACCAAGGGTATGTCTAGACAGCGGGCACTATTTCCGGATACGTCAGTATCCACTTCTTGATGGCACTCCTGTTATTTCAAAATCCAATAGAAATAACAGGCTTGCTATTCTGACATCCCAGTAAAGAGTTTATTTTGAAATTTGGCCATCTCAAAATAAGCTATGCAATTTGCACAGATCAAATTGCGTAGCTTATTTTCGAGCTAGTGCAGCAATGTAGATGCATCCCCAAGAGATTTTTGAAGTATTCTTTAAAGTCTTTTGATCTCTTTCCATTCACTTCAGTAAGGTATGGACTGCTGCTCTAATTGATTATTTGGGTAAACAGTGCAACTAATGATACATAGGGCCCTGCCAAATTGACAGTCCACTTTGGTCAATTTCACAATCAGGTAGGACTTTTTTAAATGATAAATGTCATGATTTCAGCTATTTAAATCTGTAATGTCAGAGTTTTAATAGTAGGGGTCATGAGCCAAAAGAGTTGTGCTAATGCTGACGAGGACACTGCCAGCAGTGGTTCAGAAATATGGGTGGCATGGTATGATATTGCCATCCTTACAGCTGGGCACCCTGCCAACAGCTGCAGCTTTCTGGCTACTCCACTCTGAAAGCAGTCCAGATGTAAAGGTGGTAATCTTGCAACTCCCTTCTGGGTTGAGATTGCCAACCTGAGAAATGCTGGTCTCCCCTGTGAAATCTGTATAGTATGGTGTAAAAGCACATACAAGATCAGGTTTCAGTGGGTTGAAGACCAGCTTTCATGGTCTGGGATGCATTTTTCATGGCCATGAATTTGGTAAGGCCCTAACCGATACAATATGCTGCAGACATCTGTAATGGACAAAATAACATTTTAAAAAAGTACTGAATGTAAATTTTTCCTTTACTTTTTCATCCCAATAAACCATAGGGGTTCTTGTAATGGTGAAACTTCTTCAGAATGGAGTAATTATTTTTAAGCTGAAGGAAGTGCTGCTCTAAGCACTTCTGGGCTACGTTACGTCTACATTGACCCCTTCTCCAGAAGAGGCATGTTAATTTCAAACTTCAGAATAGGGAAATCTGCGGGGGATTTAAATATCCCCCGCGGGATTTAAATAAACATGGCCAAGTATTGTGTTGATATAATACTATGCTTTTATTTCAATGGATTGGGGAAAAGCCGGAAAAAAGCATCTAGACTGGCCCGATCCTCCGGAATAAAGCCCTATTCCGGAGGATCTCTTATTCTACTATGACAGCAATATTCCAATGCTAGAAAAATGTGGTTTTGGAGCAGATGATGAGGTTGGCGAACAAGCAGCTTTCGTGCTGAACTTGCATTGCCTTGGCACAACAAAACCTCTAATTGAAATGTCCAAAAAAGAGAGTATTGAAGGTGCACACTGATGATGCTGCCAGGTGTTACTGTCACACACAGTGGAAAGCATGGTAATCAAAGGAGCAGAACCTTTGGCTTTGCTCACACGTCTTATCTGTTTTGAAAGCTGAGCAAGTGATGATACAATGTTATCCCTGTCTGAAAAAGATCTTTTCACATGTGGAGTTGTGATTCTGAGGCTCAGCATTGCAGTGTTGATTTAATGAAACCCGGAAATGAAAGCTTGTTTGATCATATGTTGATTAACCCTATGACCTGTGCTTGAATTCCTAGGGTGCAGCTTCTCTTTCTACTTCTAAATCAAGGATGAGATTCTTGAGTGAGTGAATCAGTCCCACTAATCTTCTGTGTCCATGAGTCCCCAACAAAGGAGGTGAAAATTCCTTTTTTCTGCTCATCTGCACAATGGTGAGGCATGTTAGCATCTGTTTTGTACAGTCAAAAAATGAAGTGCCTTTTATTGTTGCTGGGAAATGGAGGTGGTGTTGAATGACTGTGTTGTGATCCCTAGGGCTAATGAGTGTAAATATAAAACATCAATAGCTTGATTATTGTAATTATAGGTCCTCTTTCTTTCCTCTTTCCCATGCCCCTTTCTTCCTGCCAGTCATGGTTGCTGCTTTGTTCCCATAGACACGTGAGTGCAAACCCCTTTCTTTCAAAGAGTGCTAGTTGAAAGTACTGATCTGTGAATGGGGATTTAAGTCTGTCAGTGTGCTAGGCTGGGCAGCTGGGTGCTGCAGCAGTCAAAGGTGAGTTTGATAATGGAGTAGGGAAGGATTGGGTAACACTCCACTGGGGAGACACTTGATGCAGCTCATCCCACAAATAAATTTGTCACAGGAATAGAGCTAGTGAAAGAATAATTAGTCTCTGCATTGGTCCTGGCTTACACTGAAGTCCTTTTAAGCTTTATTTGGCTAGAGAAGAGGCATAGATCAAATACACCAAGTGATGACTCAACAGGGAATATAAAAGCTAATTGCACATCCAAAGGGGATATTATTTTTTTCAGTATGTCCGGATGTATTTCATGTAATAAGCCCTCAAATGTTTTACAGAAAGTGCTGGTGGATTCTTTGTGTGGGTGTGTTGCAGAGAGGGGAATAAATTAAGAAAATGTGTCATGTTTCCATGTAACATTGCACATGGTGGTCCAACTGGGGTGTGTCAAATGTGCCCACCCTATAGCAGAACTCTACAAAATTGTGTCATCTGTGCAGCATGGCCGCATATGCATTATGTGTGTGAGGGCATGCCACGTGAAACATAGTTTTGTAGAGCACTATTTCTGAATGTGGCCAGTGGAGGTGCCCCAAAACTAGTATTTGACCCTGAGTACTGAAAAGGTTGAGCCAACAGGGATACTGTTAGCTTGAAATATAGTCAATAAAAATGAATTTAAAATAGCTTCAAGTAATGGACTTTCCCCTTGTCCCCGCTAGTGGGGTTTTACAGTTTTGCCTCAAAATTAGAGGAAACTGGCTCTTAAGTTAATGTACCTGTAAGCAAGGGTTTATCCTGATAAATCCAGGGCTGTGGATGCCTGCTCTTGTGGGAGTGTTTGACAAGTGAGCAGCTAGCTGCAAAGAATGTATCTGCCTCATGCTGGGCAAGTCTCTAATGTGAGTGCTGAGCTGATGATGTTAAGTTATCCCTGTCTGAAAAATAAACTATTTGTGGAATTCTGACTCTCTGAGGCTTAGCACTTTCTCGTGTTTAATGAGATGGGAAGATCAAAGATTACTTTAAGGATTGGTATGATGGATTTTTAATACGTGGCTTATACTTGCATTCCCAGGATGCAACGTTTTCCTCCCAAGGATCCAGTACAGAAAGTGCCTGTGTCAAGCCAGAAGCTGATAACTGACTGCACATTGGTAAGGAATTGCCATGAGAAATCTAAAGGCTTTTGGTCAGCAGTGGTGGGTAGGTCATGCTGTTCAGAGTAGGGATGTAATAGTGTAGAAGCAAAAGCTTATAGGTTAATGCTATAGACCAGTATTTCTCAACCTAAATTACCCCCAGTACCTACAGTTTTCAGACTCACAATTTTTTTGGGGAGGGCGGGGGGGGGGCACAACACATTTGTTTAAACAACTTAATCATAGCCGGGCAGGCAATGAAATTTTGGGATGTAAAAAGTACAAAAATAATAAAGCACTGTAAAACTTAACAAATTCAGCTTTCTCTAAATTTCAGTTGTGTTGCTGTACACCACCACCCCTTCTTTCGAGTACCCACTGGTTGAGAAGCACTGCTATAGACTACACACATTGCTCCCTGTCCCCGTGCTTGCCAGTATATTTTTTAGCAGCCTGGACCTACACCTCCTGCAGCTTTGCATTTAAAGTGTATTAGGAGCAAAGGGGGAGGCAATCTCTCTCAGTTCTGACTTGTGCCAGGCATGGGAGCTCAGACTCTCTGCTCCTTCCCCCCCCCCCCCCCCCCACCAATGAGGCAGCAGCACAGGGCAACAGGCAGCTGGTCCGTGAGGGAAGCTGGTTTTTAAACCCGATCCCACCATGAACCAACTCCTGCCTGGCATCCCTCGCTGCTGCCTCTTATATAGAGGCAGCAGTGTGGCGTGGCAGGGGGGCTCCTCAGGAGTGGAGCTGGAGTGCACTGGCTGCCCGCCTCACTTCCAGGGACTATAGGAGGCAGCAGCACAGGGCAACAGGCAGCTGGTCCGTGAGGGAAGCTGGTTTTTAAACCCGATCCCACCATGAACCAACTCCTGCCTGGCATCCCTCGCTGCTGCCTCTTATATAGAGGCAGCAGTGTGGCGTGGCAGGGGGGCTCCTCAGGAGTGGAGCTGGAGTGCACTGGCTGCCCGCCTCACTTCCAGGGACTATAGAATAATTGAGTTACTAAGTGATAAGAATTCATGAGGTTAATCAACTATTCAATTAACCAATATTTAACATCCTTAGTCCAAAGTGCATACTCTTTGAAACTATTCTGTTCCTTAAGGGAAACATAGGAATGTGGAGGATGATTGTTATATTCAGTTGTTGCCCTCCTGAGCAGGTCTAATCCTGGCTTTTTGCAGTCTGTGATGTGTTGAATAACAAAGGGCAGGGGAAATGATGGTCCAGAGATTCTAAAAGAAGCAGAACTCAAACCTGCTATGGGTCTTGAGTCCAGTTTTCTACACATTTCTCCTCCCTGGCCAGTTTCTTAATCTTTGTGATCATATCTGAGTTATGCCTGCAGTGGGCAAGGCTGATGCACTCACTCTGAAGAACTCTTTGGATGTATCTTCAGTAGGTTTTCAATCTGTTTTTCTATCCCTTGAAGCCTATAAGCCAGTGAGATCATGTTATCTTTGAAAACTCAGCCGTGAAGGGGCAAAACAAAATATTATGAAGCTCTTGACTTTTGCCCACTAATTTATCTTCCTACTTCTGTAACTTTTGTAAAAGATTAAAACCTTGAATGACCAGATAAATGATGGGATGCCCTTTGTTCCATGGATCTGTGCTGACTCTGATTTGGAGGCAACCATCACAACGTTGCTCTTGGCAAAATCCTCTCAACAGTTGCAGTCTTGGATGTTTTCCAGTTGCCATTCTCTTTTGACATGATAAATGAAACCCTTAAAAACAGGCATTGCCCCATTTGGTGCATTCTGTCAAAATGTTTAGCAAACAAAAAAATTGCTTGTTGATTTCATGTATGAAAAAGGGTTTTTCAGGCACATGCAGCTTGTTTTGCCCTGGCTGGTGGGAGAATTTGAGACACATTTATGCCTAACTTGAGCCGTCTGTTCAGTTAAAAGCTGGTTTTTGTCTATAGCCTTGATGGGTATAAAAACGGTCAGTGTTTCTGGCCAAACGAGCTCTGAACCCTGTTCTGCAGGCAAAATGCTGATGGAACTAATGCTAAATGGAGGTGCAACCTATAGGCAAAACACTGGCTGCAATAACTTGATAGTCCCTTCTATTTTTGTGGTGGTTCTTTTCAAGGAAGCCAGGGTTTGGCTCAGTCCTTAACTACTCATTTGTGTGCTGTATTAGCATGTCAGAGCAAAAGCTTTGTTTCACCTGCTCTTACACTTGTGACCATTATTACTTCCTATCCCAAAGTGATAGGCAGTAACCAAATTTGGGATGGTGTTTGAGAGTTTCGAGTGCACTGCATAATAGTCAGTTCAGTATGCTGCCCTGATCTGTCCAAGATGCAAAGATATAGCAAGAGGTCCTTGCTTTCCCAGCAGGGAATACAAAAAAAATCTACTGTCCTCTGCCATGCTCCACTTTATTTCTCTATCCCCAAATAACCCCTTGATTCTCTTATCAAAGCAATAATAGCATTGAGAGCAAGAGGATTTTCTTGCTCTAGTGCAGGGGTCTCCAAACTACGGCCCGCGGGCCGGATGCGGCCCGCGAGGCCCTCTCATCCGGCCGGTGGAGACCTTTTTGTCTACGGAAAAAAAATTACGGAAATTTACGTGTATCCTGCCAAGATCAGCCGCCGCTTACGTGGACGTTATGTTTTTACCGAATTAAAATAGAGGCACGCAGTAGTGCGTTATGTTTTCCAACCGATCATTACATTGCAAAACCTTATTCGCTGCTTACTTTTTCTACTTCCGTTCACAGTCAATGAGATGATATAACGCCATCTAGTGGTGGAGTTTTTAAATGGTTTGCTGCTGGTTCAAGACTTGATTATTTTGATCACAGTTTGCCAGTTGCGGTTGACTGTTGCGATGAGGAGGTGTTGGTGTCAATTAGCTTCTGATTTCGAAACATGTTGCACTCTATTTTATTTAGTGATAATTTCCTTCGCGTAATTACTTATCAGTGTGTTTAAAGTATTGGGAATGTCGTTAGTTTAGTAAGAATTTTTCGAATATTCTGAAGAGGAAACATTAAAAGCAACAATCTCTCTACCATAAGTGGATATATTTGCACACTATATTCAGGTAAGTTTAACTTAAGAAATCATAAGAATTTTTAAAAATTGTTTCGGGTCATTTGCAGCTATTATTGCGACAAAATTAGTTTTGTAGCTTTGGGTGCGAATACCATTGCCCGCCGTGTTGCAGACATGGGTGAAAACATTGTGACTCAAATAGCGAAAAATGCAAGCAAGTTTCGCCATTTTTCAATTGCAATGGATGAATCGCTGGACAGCTGCTCCACCTCTCAACTGCTTGTGTTCATTAGAGGTGTGGATGAAGACATGAACATAACACAAGAGCTGGCTTCCCTACATAGCATGTATGGCACTGTTACCGGAGAGGATATATTCAATGAGTTGAAAAAAACATTTGCTGATTATAACTTGGACTGGACTAACCTCAGTTGCCTGACTGTTGATGGAGGAAAGAACATGAGTGGCATAAAGAAAGGCTTGGTTGGACAAGTGAAGCAGATGTGTAATGAGAAAAACATTATACAACCAATGTTCCTGCACTGTATTATTCACCAGCAAGCTTTGTGTGCTAAATATGTGGACATTAGCAGTGTACTGAATCCTGTGGTGAAGATGGTGAATTTAATAAGGTCACATGGGCTCAACCATAGACAGTTCAGAGACATGTTGAAAGATACAGACACAGAATCGCAAGATTTACCCCATTACACAGCAGTAAGATGGCTAAGTTAGAAGGCCTTATTTTAGTCAAGAGTGAGATCAGAGAAGGTGTGAATGGGGAATGTGCAACGGTAGCCCTTTAAAGCCTTCTAGTTTTAGCACGATAAATTGATAACTCAGCATCACTATAGGTTTTCCCTTCCACTTATGAGCTAGACAAAATACCTCAAATGTAGCAAATACTTGGGATACCTAACTGCAAGTGCTCATTAATTACCAAAGGCAGCTTGCAGAATTTTAAGCACCATCCCTCTAAGAACCTCAAGAGTCTCAAAATTTGGTATCATTTTGGACAAATATTCATTTGTTTAGGTGCTTAAGCAAAGCTTATCCTAAAGTATGAATGAAGGATTTCATGTATCTTTATTTAATTGGAGCCCATTTCTGTTGCTCTGGCCATCTGTAATATGCAAATACAGCTAAATAGGCCTACTTTCAGAGTAAGACAGAAACATCCCTCTCCCTTCCACGTCTGGTCTCTCTCATCCACAACCCAGAGCAGCACCGCCCTGCCGGGTATCAGTCTGTGGGAGCGTTGGGCACTGCTTTCCAACTTCCTTTACCAAGTGATAACGTGTCTGCTTTCAAACCAGCTTTTCCCATTAAAATGCATGCCCCTTGTTCCATGGGGCTATGTTACAAATTGTCACCTCATTCCCTGCATGATAGGAGAGCGATCACATCTCTTCAAGTGTGAGTGTCTTAGGCTGAACATATTGCCAGGATTATGTTGCTTACAATTTTCATCACATTGCGCAGGTGGAAATGAGTTCTCAGCAGTTTCCCCGTTCTGGAGCCCCTCCTGCAGGACTAGGACAAGCACCACCCCCAATTTCAAACAGTGATTTCTAAAGCCAGAAATGTCTGCTATTTTGGCATCCAGGAAACAATTTCACCATTCACACTAATACAGGTGTTCATGTGTAGTGTATCAATGTGTTATTAAATAATAACTGAATAAAATAATATTAAATAAATAATTAAAAACAACATCCATGTTTTGATTGTTTTTTATTTGGACCTCAAGTGTGTAGTCGGCCCCCGAACTGCTGTTTGATAGTTAATGCGGCCCTCGGGCTGAAAAGTTTGGAGACCCCTGCTC